GCCCCGAAGCCGGCTCGCAGCGGTTGCTGTTCTCGCACGACCTGGTGTCGGGCCGTTACCGCGGCTCGGTGCACTTCGGGCTGGTGCGCCTCATCCACGGCGAGGACTCGGACTCGGAGGGCGAGGAGGAGGGCCGCGGGAGCTCGGGCTGCTCGGAGGCCGGCGGCCCCGGGCACGAGGAGGGCCGCGCCAGCCCGCTGCGCCGCGGCTACGTGCGAGTCCAGTGGTACCCCGAGGGCGTCAAGCAGCACGTGAAGGAGACCAAGGTGCGGGCCGGGGGCGCGGGCGGGCGGGCGGCGGTCCTCCGGGTGCAGCGGCGGCCGGGCTGGGCGACACTTGAGCATGGGCGGGGAACCCCCGAGGGGCAGCGGTGGCTGGACAGGGGGTGGGAGCTTGGCACGGGCAGGAGTCCCCCGGGGGACAGGACGCCGGGCCACCGCTCTGTGGGGTGGAGGGAGAAGGGAGCTCCCTGCCAGCCTCAGGCGTGGACGGGGAGGCGTTCGAGGCCCAGCCCGGAAGGTGCGGGAGGGGTGGGCCGAGCCACCGCGGAGGGGACGCCCCGATGCAGTGGGCCAGTGCACAGTCATTGCACCAAGGCCGGCCCGGGCCTGGCGACTTCCAGGGGGACTGGCCAGCGAGCTGGACCACCGGATTGGATTCATACACCCCCCCCACACACTGATGACAGCGGGGGGTGGGGGCGAGGGAGGGAACGGCTTGGTGGGAGGTGCTTTCGTATTACACCAGTGCTGCGCGGCGGCGTTGGCGTTTTTTTTTTTTTGCTGACCCCCAAGGAGCCTCCTGCTGCATTGTGCACCCTAAAAGACCCGCCGGCCAGGAGGGGTGTGGGCCAGTCAAAGCAAAGCTTGGGGGTGGGCATGGGTGGGGGGAAATCTCAGCCTCCGTAGAAGCCCAGCAAGTTGTCTGCTGACGGAATGCGATAGGCTCTGTCTGTGTGTCACCTTTACTGCATATGGCTGTGGGGAACTTCGCCTCGAGTTAAGGCCTGCACTGAGCCGCGGTATTAATAGTATTGGGGGAGAATGTGACAGCTGCTACTGGGGTTGATGGCTCCCAAGTGCATTTGGACATCCCTGGGGGAAAGGGGGAGGGGGGGTTTGTAGACCCCTGGCCCAGGAGAGCCACCCATTTGGAATCCTGCAGGGTCTCTTCCGCAGCAGGGCCACCAAATTCCCCTGTGCTTTGGGGGTAGGGCCCATGAGCAGAGAGCACTTGACAAAACAAAGGGGCCCTGTCATCCCAAACCTGGAACCTGGAACTGAGGTTCACTTGGTGACTTTGCCTGGCTTGTTTTTCTGAGTGTGAATCCCTATCAGCCTCGCGCACACACACACCCCTTCTATCTTACACCCCTTCATCCTCTCTTTCACCTCCCTTCCCCTTCCAAAAAAAGAAAAATAAACAACCAACAAACCAGGTCTAAGGAGGACTGGAGCCCAGACTGTGGGAGCAGTAGCCAGGATGATGAAGGGTCTGACTTCAAGGGTGGGTGGGTGGGGGTGCTTTAGAAGTTAGTTTCAGTGTCTCTCCCAGGAAGACAAAGATTCAGGGCTTCATGTAGGCTGCAAAGCAGGCCTGTGCCCGGGTAGCCCCCTCCCCACATATACACACACACCCGGTGGGTGGAGAGATGCTGTCATCCCTTCCCTGGTGTCAAGAGTGGCTTGGTGACATCAGGGTCCTTTTCTCCCTGATGTGCGTGTGCGTCTGCTCCCAGGCCCCTAGTCCATGCCCTCAACCCGCCAGCTTCTCCTCGGAGAAAGGCAGGTCAGCCGGGAGCCTCTCTGACCAGAAAGGACCTGGAACAAGTTCATTTGCAAAAGTATCTGGGGGAAGGAAAATGACTCTTTTGGGGGTGTGTGTGCAGAATGATGCTTGCTAAACCTCACCCTTAGTGTTGCTCCATCAGGAAGAGACTGTAGGCCCTGTGCGTGTTGTCTTCCTAGCAGATGCTTGCTGGTGGCTCTTAAGAAATGATACCCACCCCCACCCCCCAGCCAGTCATTATCTCTGGAGGGTTGTGACGTGGAATTCCACTCGGGGGGTCAGGGCCTCCTGCTGCTATGAGGATCAGAGCCAGCCACACCTAGCCCACGGATGAGAGCAGACTGTCCACCTGGGCTTCGGTGGTGCCCTTTGCTTGGGGTTCGGTTTGGTCGGTGGCCCCCACCCCGGGCGGGGGTCCCTTGCCCTTGTCTGACTTCACCCACTTGACGTGGAAGTCGAACAGACACAACGTGAAGGTGTGGAGCTGCCTGCTGGTGACTCCCCAGGAGCTGGTTGGTGGTCTGTCCTTGCCGTGTGCTTCCTGGGCTTCAGGGCGTCACACAAAGCCAGGGGGCACGGGGAGTCCACGGGCGGCATGGGTCACAGCATCCCTTCATGGCTGGCAGAGCGCAGGGCGTTGAGGCCTGGGGAATAGGTTTATCGGCGTGGAGGGACGAGGACCCCTGCTCTCCCAGGAGTTTATCCCAAGCACTTGACTCCTGGCCACCAGGAGCGTGAGGGGCAGGTGACCTCATTCTGCGGAACCCCTGCTTCTCTTGCTTTGTTTCTGGACATTGATTGCAGGGGGGGGTGGGGCCTGGGGGAGGGTTGGTCAGGGGGGCCTGGGACCTTGCAGGCCTCTGGTTGAGCTTGTCCTCCCCACTGCCCACCTTCAGAAATCCTGCTGAGGTCATTCTACTGTGAAGAAAAGATCCAAACAAAAACCGACTCGCTGCCATCGAGCTGATTCCGGTTCATTGAGACCCTATTGAACAGGGTAGAGCTGCCCCTCTGGGGTTCCCAGGCTGCGACTCTTTATGGGACTAGAAAGCCTCATTTTTGTCCTGCAGAGCGGCTGGTGGTTTCAGACTGCTGACCTTGCAGCCCAACGTGCAACCACTGTATACTAGGGCTCTTGAAAGAAAGGTCACTGGGCCCAAACTGGGCACTTGGGTGATTTCCACTCCCTCACTTAGCACCACTGAGATTCAAGAACCTGACTGTTGCTAGGATGATGTGGTGACAGTTGTGGAAACTTAATGGGGTTTTTGGAGGGGCTCTGGTGGCAAAGAGGCTACATACACATTGGACTCCTCACCACAGGTCACTAGTTTGAAATCAACAGCCTCTCCGAGCGAAAGGCGAGACTTTCTGTTCCCACCTACAGTTACAGCCTCAAACCCACAGGGGCAGTTGTACCCTGTCCTGTAGGGTCGCTGTGAGCCGGCATCGCCTCGATGGCAGTGGGTTTGGTTTGGCTGTGGGTTGTTTTCCTTAAGTAACTGTTTATATGTGATGTGGGGGACAGTAAGTGAACGGTTAGGGTTAGTCTCCGTTTCTTTCAAGTTTCCAATGAGGAAATTAGCAAAGGGAGGCCAAGAGGCTCGCCAGCAAGACCGGACCGTCTCCATGCCACTTGCATGACAAGGATCAGTAGACATAAAACAAGAAGTTCTTGAAATTGTGGGATCTGTGGCCAAGGTCCAGCAGCCCAAAGTCGTCTCCTATGGATGGAAAAGAAACAATGGCCAAATCCATGGTCGCCGACTCTGCTTCTTAGGATTCCCAAGGCTGCCCCTCTTCAGGGAAGCAGACGGCCTCATCCTCCTCCCTCGGGCCAGCTGGTGGGCTAGAACCACCAACCTTTAGGTTAGCAACAAAGCACTTAACCCGCTGTACCACCAGGCCGCCAAGCAGTTGGCCAAAGCAAAACCAAGCCTGCCGCCATCTGCTCCACTCTGAGTCGGAGCGGCCCCTGGTAAGGGTTCCGGGGCTGAACTCTATATGAGGGCAAACAGCCTCGCCTCATCTTTCCCCCAAGGAGCGAGCGGCTGGTGGGTTTGAACCATTAACCAGTCCAGTGCTTACCTGATGGCTCCACCAGGACCAGTGCCCTTCTGAACTCCTCTGTGCTGCCCCCTCCTGGCCTCTCACCATAACAACCATTTACCCACCGGGAACACTCTCCAGCCTGCTCCGGTCTGCTGGGCGGAGGCTGGGCCTAACCCATCAATGGTCATGCTTAGAGTAAACTTCTGGTAGAAGGCCACAAGCTAGGGGCCTCCTTAACCTGGGGGTGGCCGGGTTCTGGGCTCCACCGGTCCTCCTGCCACAGATGGCCTTCTGTACAGGCGGGAGCGGCCAGGTGCCTGTCCAAGTTGTAGTTCAGCCTGCTTCTCAGAAAGGCTGCCGTGCTGTGGTGTTCATCTGCCCTCCTGTGACCTGTGTGGTGTTGCTGCAGCATCCAGGGTCTGTCTCTTGAGGGTGAGACCTGGTGTCTCTGTTGAACCCGGGTGGATGTCTCTGTGTGTGTGTGTGTGTGTGTGTCATTCCCAAAGACAGCTCCTCAGAGACTGGCTTTTCCGTTTATTTTTGGCTCCTACTCAGGCCAGCGCTTCCGTGGGGAAGGCTGTTGAGGTGTGGCCTCTGAGCACGTGACTCGGCCTCCCTCAGTTGTCCAGAGAAGCAGTTGTTCTGTGTGATGGGAGAAGAAGTTACGTCCTCAGGTTAGCTAAGATGCCCCACCAAGCGCACCTAATTGCACCCCGCTCAGGTGGGATCGCAGCGCAGGTGGGTGCCACCAGCTGTTCTGTGATTTCTTCTCCACCCCTGAGCCCTGGGTCCCCCTCCCTCCCCCACCCCTTAACCCGCCTGACTCAAGGGCACTTTGGCCTCTTGTCCTCTGTTTTGGTCTGACCAGAAGTCAGAACCCTTGGGTGCTCTTCCTGACCGCCACCTATGCTGAATGGCCATGGCTCAGTCATTGCCTGGTGTCTTGCTAGGCCTGAGTCTCATGTGGCTGGTGCCCCAGAGTGTGGCAGGGCCAAGCTGGGCTCGCCGGGGACAGCCAGCCTTGCTCCTTCAGAAACTCACTTCCATGGGGCCAGGTGGCGCAGGCCATGGGAGGGGGGACACATCCCGGGAGCCTCACACCAAAGGGGATCCTGAGCAGTTGACTTCGGAGGAGCTGGAATTCCCAGTTGGTCACGTGGCCTGTGACCGGTGGGGTCACATGCTTTGTCTCCGACGCCCCTTCTGTCATGATGAGCCCCCGTCACTCCCCAAGACACTGTATTCACCTGCTCACCACTGCCGCAGAATCTGGAAGACAGGTTGAAAGTCCCGAGAGACAGGCAGTGCAGTGGTGGACACCGAGGGTGGAGACGTGCGGCCCTCGTGCTGCTGCGCTTGTGGGCTGGGAGGAGGAGGAGGAGGAGGAGGCACGGCTCAGTGCTGATGGTGCCCAGGCCCTCAGAAC